CCACACTAGTGAAAACTGGTGCTCTTGGTCTGAGACGTTGTTTTCTCACTTGATTCCATGGGGGTTTTTTTTTTCCGGTTAGACCTGTATTTTTCTTCTTTTTCTTTCTGGAATTTGGCATTTGACGAAATTATTGACACGACTGCCCGATTACTGTATATATAGATMTATATATGATATTACTTCCAAAATGTTAGGTGCATACCTTGCAGTTGACCATTAACATACACGTTGACTCTCATTGTCTTGTATGTATGGTAGCTCACTGGTATGAATCTGATGTACCTGGCAGTTATGGTCTTTTTTAAATTATGACGTACCACAGTATACCTATCTGTGTTACCATCGAAGATCTGTTTACGATTGCATTGATAAAGATTAATAACGATAATAACAGATAATAACAAATCTAACCATCATGCCTGAACTATCTGGTCAAAGAAGTGGCCGTTACTAAAGTAGTCGTTTGCAGCTTGAGGCTTGCTAAGTGAGAATTAGAGAACATTACGCACCGATATAAATGTAAAAACATTCCCGTTACATAATTGTCGTAGCGTGATTGTGTCGAATCTTAGGTAGCATTCTGATTGGATGACCAGTAATGTCGTGTGCTATAGACTCGTGATCATTGAATATATTCTGAATTTCGGTGCTGTATGCCGTGTCTACGTCTTTCCACATTATGAATTCTACTCTATACATAAATAYATTTTTATTAATAATTTCGAGACAGGATTGTGCACGAAGCTGCATGGGAACTGAGAGAGCGGTGAAATTTTATAAATATCGGCGTTTGCGTCCCTTAATCCCGCTTCCGCAAAAGGTCACAAAATACTAACGATCATCCGCTTTGTATATATTCCGTACTTAAAAAAACAAACAAACAAACAAACAAACAAACAAAAAAACAAAAAAACTCGGAATTTACCTTCAGAAAATGATTTTCTGGATAAGTTGTCCAATTTTTTAGGTTACTGGTATGATTAACTTTATAGCTTGTCACCCATTCATCGTAGAAGCCATTTCCTTGTGTTGCTACAGCAGTAATAATACGTGGAGTACCAAGGTCAATCTGTAGGTAATCATCAGGATCAACTAAAGTTTTTGTTGCCCATCCATTACTACCATTCAGCTTGGCGTTGTGAGGTTCGTATCGAGCATCGTTTTTAACCTCTGGACTTATGTAATGTGACGAGGCAGTGTAACTGCTGTCAGGTATACCCAGATTTCTCTCCTTTCCAACAAGTGATTGTTCCAAACACCCTAGCCATAGCAGGATTTAAAACCATTATTTAGGAGCTTTGTGGCAGCATGATAAAGTTCCAAACTATGATTAASTAAACCTAAGGTGTGTGTTAAACTTTTATACAATCATTCAAATTAATATTGAAATCTC